TAATTAAAAAAAAACGGTCGGAGTTTTTTTTTCTCATTATGCACTGCGTGCTGCAGGATTTTTTTTATATGGTGCACACTGACCACACAAACCCATTCTCTCACATGTGGGCCTACCAGCTTTCTCCTGCTTGATTTGAAGCCACTAGAATTTATGAGTATATATACGTCAAAACGGTGGCTCGTAAGACATATGTATACAACCGAGACAGTCAAAGGGTTAATACACTGGTTGTCTCCCACTGAAGAAGAGTGACCCCCCCCCCCCCAAAAAAAAAAAAATGGAAATACATGCACCATCAATACTTCAATAGCTCACTTGTAAGTACAGTAATGCACAGATATTCCAATTCAAACGATCCTCAAACTGTAGATGAATGGTTCAGAGAACCGACACATTGATAAAATAGACACATGTGCAACTCTTGGGTATCTTTATTGAGGAAACGTTTTGCCACACAGTGGCTTCATCAGTCCATACAAAGGTACCCAAGAGTTGCACATGTGTCTATTTTATCAACGTGTCGGTTCTCTGAACCATTCATCTACAATCCCGTCAGACACTGCAACTTCTTGGGATCTTAATACTTGGGAATTCTTCACTTGCCTAACCCTGGGGCACGACCTACTTCAACATTGGACAAATGTGACACCACCTACGACTGCTGCACCTCTCCTGCCTACGGTTTATAAGCTGCTTCTCCGCTCATATGCCGTATTCTATTCAAGATTGATAGACTGACCACATCGACTCAAGGTTGAGGGACTGATTACCTCATTCTCCTCCTGTTCTTCAAGTTTCTCCTTTGTATGAAGCCACTGTGTGGCGAAGCGTTTCCTCAATAAAGATACCCAAGAGTTGCACATGTGTCTATTTTATCGATCCTCAAACTGCAACACCACCATCTTCACCTTCAGAGTGCAGGCACTGTTTTTTCCCTAGGACTAAAATCCAGCTAACCGCTTTCACTGAACCCCTTCATAAATGTTACTCTGCTTGCATTCTAAAATCAGTCAAGAAACCTTGCTCACATTCCAGCATGACGTCAAATTGTAGACACCCCTTCCCTCCACTCACCCCAATCTAATGCACTAACACATGCCTGCTGGATGCCTAAGCCCTTTGCATCCAAAACCTCATTTACTTCCCCCCTCCAGCCTTTCTAAGGATAACCCCTACCCTGCAATCCCTCCACTACAGATTTATATGCTCTCCAATTAAACCTACTTCATTCCATCCTCTCTTTAGCTTCCATCCCCTCTTCAGCCCTCTGGATAATACTTTTAGTAACCCTGCCCCTTCTAATCTCCAAGCTACAAGCTCCCTGCATAGTATTCACACCACACATTGCCCTCAGAAAAGGCATCTCTGCTGCTTCCAGCCTCCTTCTTTCTGCAACATTTGAAACCCATGCTTCATACCCATATAAGAGCGATAGTACCACAGTACTCTCATACATTCCTCTTTTTGCTTCCATGGACAAAGCTCTTTGTTTCCATGGATGCCTCAATGCACCACTCATCTTTTTTTTTTTTTCCTAGTCTCAATTCTATGGTTCACCTCATCTTTTGAAGACCCATCTTGTACTGACAAGTCCACTCCCAAATATCTGAACAGACTGGCTTCCTCCATACTCTCTCCCTCTAATCTGATATGCAGTCTTTCATTACCTAAATATTTTTGTTACCCTCTGTGGAAAATTAGTGATTTTCCATTTTTCCTAAGTCTTGAGCAGGGATGGAAATACGTTCAGAGAGAAGGTAAGGGAGGTCTGTAACACTATAATAATGGCATACACTTCTGTCACCTCTTTACTAAACTCCTAATTCTAGATTAATTTTGCTGTAAAGCTCTTGTCAGCTTCATTTCCAGTCTAGTTTCTAAGTATGTAAATTACTTTAGATGAAGATGTAAGTACAGTATAGATATAAGTATATGGAATTGGTGGTAAGTTACTAAATGCTGTAAAGCATTTTTATAAGGATAGTGAGGCTCAAGTTAGGGTGTGTAGAAGAGAGGGAGAATACTTCCCAGTAAAAGTAGGTCTTAGACAGGGATGTGTAATGTCACCATGGTTGTTTAATATATTTATAGATGGGGTTGTAAAAGAAGTAAATGCTAGGGTGTTCAGGAGAGGGGTGGGATTAAATTATGGGGAATTAAATACAAAATGGGAATTGACACAGTTGCTTTTTGCTGATGATACTGTGCTTATGGGTGATTCTAAAGAAAAATTGCAAAGGTTAGTGGATGAGTTTGGGAGTGTGTGTAAAGGTAGAAAGTTGAAAGTGAACATAGAAAAGAGTAAGGTGATGAGGGTATCAAATGATTTAGATAAAGAAAAATTTGATATCAAATTGGGGAGGAGGAGTATGGAAGAAGTGAATGTTTTCAGGTATTTGGGAGTTGACGTGTCAGCGGATGGATTTATGAAGGATGAGGTTAATCATAGAATTGATGAGGGAAAAAAGGTGAGTGGTGCATTGAGGTATATGTGGAGACAAAAAACGTTATCCTAGGTAGTAGGTTGGTAAACAGCAACCGCCCAGGGAGGTACTACCATCCTGCCAAGTGAGTGTACAACGAAAACCTGTAATTGTTTTACATGATGGTAGGATTGCTGGTGTCTTTTGTCTGTCTCATAAACATGCAAGATTTCAGGTATGTCTTGCTACATCTACTTGCACTTAGGTCACACTACACATACATGTACAAGCATATATATATATACACACACCCCTCTGGGTTTTCTTCTCTTTTCTTTCTAGTTCTTGTTCTTGTTTATTTCCTCTTACCTCCATGGGGAAGTGGAACAGAATTCTTCCTCCATAAGCCATGCGTGTTGTAAGAGGCGACTAAAATGCCGGGAGCAAGAGGCTAGTAACCCCTTCTCCTGTATATGTTACTAAATGTAAAAGGAGAAACTTTCGTTTTTCCTTTTGGGCCACCCTGCCTCGGTGGGATATGGCTGGTATGTTGAAAGAAAGAAGAAAGAAAAAATGTTATCTATGGAGGCAAAGAAGGGAATGTATGAAAGTATAGTAGTACCAACACTCTTAGATGGGTGTGAAGCTTGGGTTGTGACTGCTGCAGCGAGGAGGCAGTGGAGATGTCCTATCTAAGGGCAATGTGTGGTGTAAATATTATGCAGAAAATTCAGAGTGTGGAAATTAGGAGAAGGTGTGGAGTTAATAAAAGTATTAGTCAGAGGGCTGAAGAGGGGTTATTGAGGTGGCTTGGTAATTTAGAGAGAATGGATCAAAGTAGAATGACATTGAGAGCGTTTAAATCTGTAGGGGAAGCAAGGCGGGGTAGGGGTCGTCCTCGAAAAGGTTGGAAGGAAGGGGTAGTGGAGGTTTTGTGGGCGAGGGGCTTGGACTTCCAGCAAGCGTGCGTGAGCGTGTTAGATAGGAGTGAATTGAGACAGATGGTATTTGGGGACTTGACGATCTGTTGGAGTGTGAGCAGGGTAATATTTAGTGAAGGGATTCAGGGAAACCGGTTATTTTTATATAGCCGGACTTGAGTCCTGGAAATGGGAAGTACAATGCCTGCACTCTAAACGAGGGGTTCGGGATATTAGCAGTTTGGAGGGATATGTTGTGTATCTTTATGCGTATTTGCTTCTAAACTGTTGTGTTCTGAGCACCTCTGCAAAAACAGTGATTATGTGTGAGTGAGGTGAAAGTGTTGAATGATGATGAAAGTATTTTCTTTTTGGGGATTTTCTTTCTTTTTGGGTCACCCTGCCTCGGTGGGAGATGGCCAACTTGTTAAAAAAAAAAAAGTAAGTGTAGGAGCTTAGTATATATGATAACATCAAGTAGACCTTTATATCAGTAACACAGTGCCATGTCCTGAGGGCCTTTGGCCCACAGTTTCCTCAGTAACACAACCAACCGCATCCACATCACCCATGTCTCCATCTGGCAAACTCGTGTATTAAAACTGTGACTCAGTACTCATTATTTTGAGGTATTCCTAAAGGAATTTAATGACCCAGTCTCCACACACCAAAGTCAGAAAGTGTTATCAGTACAATTGAATGCATTAATAGATATGGTAATAAGTAATTAATGAAGCCACATGGAAAGTCCCACATTTCTCTGAAACTCTCAGTAAACCAGAAATACACCTACATCTAGAACACATAAATTGCCCATGTCTAGATGAAGGTGAATGGGTTGGCAGGTGTTTCTCTAGAATTTAATTAATGATCTGAATGGAATTAGCTAATAAGGTCGGTAATTATGATGTTCACCCATATTCTAGACACCTCCATCACCTTGCTCTTTCCAGTATTCACTTTTAATTTCCTTCTTTTACATATTCTCCCAAATTTGCCCACCAACCTTTGTAACTTGTCTTCAGAATCTCCCAAAAGCATAACTCCCACTTTGTGTTAGATTCTTTATCTTGCAATCTCCCAGCACCCGAGAATTCACTTCTATAATAACTCCATCCATAAATATGTTGAACATCCATCGTGATATCATGCATCCTTGTCTAAGGTCTACTTTTACTGGAGCCTCCTATCCTCATGAAACCTCTTAGCTGCTCTCAGTAACTTACCACCTATTTCATACTTGTAACATCTACTGCAATGCTACGCCATCTGCCTATCAAATGTTCTTTCCAAATTCATAAATGCAACGAAACTTTCTTTAACCTTATCTAAATATTGTTCACTTATATGCTTCACTGTAAACACTTGCTCTACCCTTCCTTAAGACTCCTTGTTCATCTGTGGCCTGCTCTCTGTCTTGCTCTTAATTCCTTCAGTAGTGACTCTGCCATACTCTGTACTGGGTTTACTTAACAGGCTGATTATTGTTATTATTGTTACACTATTTTTGTCCCCTTTGCCTTTATACATAAGAACATGATAACCTTCACTGGATAATCATTTGTCTTAAATGTTTTTTGGTCGCTGTATGTGTATTTCTGATTAATTAATATTTAAATTCTAGAATATTATGATAGCGCCCTGATTATTTAAGAATACGGCAGTGTACGGACGTGACCATGAATGACCTGATTGTCGTGCATCATGAGATGGGACACGTGGAATACTTCCTTCAGTACCGACATCTTCCAAAAATTTTCCGTGCTGGTGCTAACCCAGGTAAGTGACATTATTTGTTTGAGATAAAATGTTTATGTATAACCTTGATTTAGAAAGACACGTAAGCAAACACTATGACATATTTATTAGAAAACGTTTCGGTCCTGGGACCTTGATCACTTCTAACATACAGAGGTAGAAAGGCATTATATATATAGGCGGAGAGTGAGGTGTGACGCACGTGACCTGAGGAATGTCATAAGAACATAAGAACATAAGAATGGGGAACACTGTAGAAGGCCTACTGGCCCATGCAAGGCAGGTCCTTATCAAAAAACCTCTGCCTACGATGAGGACGGGTAGACGTTGAAATCATGTGACTCCTGTGTTGTTGGGTTGGTGGTGCTTAAGTATTAATATGCCAGTGTTTTTGAAATTTTGTAGTTTCCAGTGTTGCGTTCTATAGTGTCGGTGACTGCGATTAGTGAGGCTTCTAGGCACCATTGGCGTCTGGGTCTGGTTCGGTGAGAAAGAGTTGTGCCTCATTCCATTCATCAAATGTCCCCTGGAATGAGGCACAATCGTTCTCACCGAACCAGACCTCAGACGCCGACGGTGCCTAGAAGCCTCACTAATCGCAGTCACCGACACTATAGAACGCAACACTGGAAACTACAAAATTTCAAAAACATTGGCATACATAATACTTAAGCACCACCAACCCAACAACACAGGAGTCACATGATTTCAACGTCTACCCGTCCTCATCATAGGCAGAGGTTGTTTTGATAAGGACCTGCCTCGCATGGGCCAGTAGGCCTTCTACAGTGTTCCTCCATTCTTATGTTCTTATGTTCTTATGACATTCCTCAGGTCACGTGCGTCACACCTCACTCTCCGCCTATATATAATGCCTTTCTACCTCTGTATGTTAGAAGTGATCAAGGTCCCAGGACCGATACGTTTTCTAATAAATATGTCATAGTGTTTGCTTACGTGTCTTTCTAAACCAACTTGTCGGTATTTATTACCAAGGTTTATACCATGTGTAACCTTACATTATCTCCATTTGTATGGGTTTTAGAATACATTTTCTAGTAAAACAGTCTTCAAAGAGATTTTTTGAGACAATTATGATGGTGAAACATTAGAGGAAATATGATGGGGAAGAAAAACTATTCAAAAAGTTTTTGCTGGTGTAGTACATAGATTAAATTCAGAACTTAAACCCATTTAATTCTTTTTACACTGGCTTTATAAGTTTTCTCTGAGATCTCTAATGACTGACTAGGATCACGAGAGCACATAATCTATTTCCATATATATATCGAAATGCTTTGCCATCAATATCCTCCAGTTTTCCTCTCTACAGCATAATCATTGTCTTGTTCTTTTACCGGTAAGGTTTGTAAATCATTCTGCTCAGAAAAGGTTCTTGAAGATAGACTATATGTTCTGCTTTGTTCCCAAGTACTGTAATTATTAAAAAAGCCTGTTCTTAATGAGTGCTTTTCAACAGTCAGGGAAATTGTGTACAAGGACGAGGATTTATTTGTTTGAGCTTTCAGTGCATTTTCAAGAGGGTGTTTGTTTTTTCTACTGCAATCCATTGGGACCCTCCAGAATTCTTCCACAACAACCAGGATGGTGGGTGTCTAGTTCCACCAGAGCCTGTGTCTGGGCCCTTCTCTACTGCAGTCCATGCTAAAGCAGTAGTGGAAGCATGAAACTAAGCTGGACTAGTGGATTAATTTAGAATGATGCTTGATGCCTACAACCATCTTCTACACGAGCTCCAGGATTGTGTTGAGTTTTGATTCTAATGAGAATTCGAGCCCCAACATAATTCCTTCCGTCATTGTTGTGTCAGCGTTCCAGATTATGGTTAACTCTTTCAGGGTCCAGAGGCCAAATTTCAAAGTGTGCACCAGTGTCTAAGAATTTTTAACCCTTTGAGGATTTCGGACGTACTAGTACGGCTTACGACCCAGGGTTTTTGACGTACTAGTACGCCTAAATTCTAGCGCCCTCAAATCTAGTGGGAGAAAGCTGGTAGGCCTTCATATGAAAGAAGGGGTCTATGTGGTCAGTGTGCACAGTCTAAAAAAAATCCTGCAGCACACAGTGCATAATGAGAAAAAAAAAAACTTTGACCATTTTTTTGGAATAAAACAGCGACTTTGCACTGTATTTTCGTATGGTATTTATTGTTGTATTCTAGTTTTCTTGGTCTCATTTTATAGAATGGAAGACATATTACAGAAATTGAGATGATTTTGACTGGTTTTACAATGAAAGGTACCTTGAAATTGAGCTCAAAGTAGCAGAAATGTTCGATTTTTACCAAATTTCAAAAGTAAACAAATCGTGCCAAGCGTGCAATACACGTCAACTGGTGAGTCTAATATTCTTTCACAAGTGCACCAATGATATTTATACCATTTTTTACACTAATGCAGTAGTCTGCATAACAGTAAATCTTATATTTTTTGTGAGAATAAAAATTGAAAGTGGAAAGCAAAAGAATATAAGAGGGGCCTGGAGACGTGACTAATGACCAGAGGAAATGTCATTTTAGTGCCAGGAATGTCTTTCTTGTTTATTCTGGACCCTATTCAGAAATTGGCATCTTTTGAAATTTGTGTGAAATTGGCAAAATTGCTAAATTCTGACCACTGTACTGGATAGTTGAATTTCATAAATGGGTGGTTTCTTTGCACCCATTCGATAGAAAAAATGGAGTTCTAGCGAAATATTCATGTTTTTTGTCGACTAGTACAGTGGAATTGGCCGAAAATGGGGCTCAAAATGGGCAAAATCGCCGATGCGTAAACATCGCCGAGACCGCTAACTTTGCGAGAGCATAATTCCATAAGTTTTCCATCAAATTTCAAACTTTTGGTGTCCTTATGATCGGGAAAAGATTCTCTATCTTTTCATAAGAGAAAATAATTTTTTTTTTTTTTTAAATTTGGCCGACCCTGAGAACGAGTTTCGGAGAGGGCCTGTCGACCCTCAAAGGGTTAAAAAATAATTTTGTTATTTTTTCTTATGAAATGGTAGAGAATCTTTTTCTGAAGGTAATAAAACAAAAAGTACGAAATTTGATGGAAAATTGACGAAATTAATTTCGCGCGAATTTTGATGTGTCAGTGATAAAGATGCATAGGCGATTTTGCCGGCTTTGACTCCCATTTTAGGCCAATTACATTATTCCAGTCGACCAGATTCGTAGCTATTTCACTAATATTACTTTTATTCTATCGGTTGAGCACAAGAAATCGCCAAGTCAACTGTTTCAACTGCAAAATAAAATGATAGGAAATTGGTAATTTGGCCAATTTAATGCAAAGTTTAAAATATTCCAGTTTCAAAATAGGGTCCAGAATAAACAATGTAGGTATTCCTGGCACTAAACTAACATTTCCTCTGTTCATCAGTTATGTTTTCAGGCTTTACAAATGAATTCCATTTTGATTTTTGATTCCCTTAAGGAATTTTTATCAAACCAAAAAATAGAAGATTTACTGTTATGCAATATTGTAATAATTGTATAAATAATATCACCACATATAGGTAGTAGGTTGGTAGACAGCAACCGCCCAGGGAGGTACTACCGTCCTGCCAAGTGAGTGTAAAATGGAAGTCTGTAATTGTTTTACACGATGGTAGGATTGCTGGTGTCTTTTTTGTTCTGTCTCATACACATGCAGAGTTGACGTGTCATCAGATGGATTTATGAAGGATGAGGTTAATCATAGAATTGATGAAGGAAAAAAGGTGAGTGGTGCATTGAGGTATATGTGGAGGCAAAAAATGTTATCTATGGAGGAAAAGAAGGGAATGTATGAAAGCATAGTAGTACCAACACTCTTATGTGGGTGTGAAGCTTGGGTTGTAAATGCTGCAGCAAGGAGGCAGTTGGAGGCAGTGGAGATGTCCTGTCTATGGGCAATGTGTGGTGTAAATATTATGCAGAAAATTCAGAGTGTGGAAATTAGGAGAAGGTGTGGAGTTAATAAAAGTATTAGTCAGAGGGCTGAAGAGGGTTTGTTGAGGTGGTTTGGTCATTTAGAGAGAAGGGATCAAAGTAGAATGACATGGAGAGTGTGTAAATCTGTAGGGGATACAAGGCGGGGTAGGGGTCGTCCTCGAAAAGGTTGAGGGGAGGGAGTAAAGGAGGTGTTGAGGGCAAGGGGTTTGGACTTCCAGCAAGCGTGCATGAGTGTGTTAGATAGGAGTGAATGGAGACAAATGGTATTTGGGACCTGACGAGCTGTTGGAGTGTGAGCAGGGTAATATTTAGTGAAGGGATTCAGGGAAACCGGTTATTTTATATAACCGGACTTGAGTCCTGGAAATGGGAAGTACAATGCCTGTGTTCTAAAGGAGGGGTTTGGGATATTGGCAGTTTGGAGGGATATACACCTATCATCCGACTTACGACCGAGTTCGGTTCTGAGAAACCAGTCGTAAGTCGAAATGGTCGTAAGTCGAACTTTACTACTGAATATCAACAAAACATTTTTATAAAGACTTTATTTTATTGTTTTATTTTGGTATTTCATGTTTTACTTTACTTTTTATGTTGTTAGTGCTGTATTTTATACTGTAAGGTTTAGGATAAACACAGTGTACAACACAAATAGTTGTTTATTTACCAGAAATTTGGCATAAAAAACACGGTTTAAGTCGAGTGGTCGTAAGTCGAGCAGGTCGTAAGTCGGATGGTAAGTGTATTGTATATTTTTATACGTATATACTTCTAAACTGTTGTATTCTGAGCACCTCGCAAAAACAGTGATTATGTGTGAGTGAGGTGAAAGTGTTGAATGATGATGAAAGTATTTTTTGGGGGGGGATTTTCTTTCTTTTTGGGTCACCCTGCCTCGGTGAGAGACTGACGACTTGTTGAACAAAAAAAAAAAAAAAAACACATTCAAGATTTCAGGTACATCTTGCTACTTCTACTTACACTTAGGTCACACTACACATACATGTACAAGCATATATATACACACCCCTCTGGGTTTTCTTCTATTTTCTTTCTGGTTCTTGTT